GGGGAAGGTGGGCAGCACACGGCCCGGGACCCCTGATGGTGGTGGGGCTGACAGGCTCCCTACCTGGCTCCGTGTGTCCCGCAGCTCCTGGGGGAGGGAAAACCGGGGGGCTCCATGCATGCTGCTCCCGCCACAAGCGCCAGCTCCACAGCTCCCATTAGCCAGGAACCACAGCCAATGGGAGCTGTGGGGGCGGGGCCTGTGGGCACAGGCAGTGCGCAGAGTCCCCTGGCCTCTCCACCTAGGAGCTGCAGGGACATGCCGGTGGGAGCTGGAGAGCCCCGAACCCTCTGCTCCTAGCCCCCTCCCACACACCCAAACTGCTGCTGCCGGCCCAGGAGCTGCCCAGCTTGGGCAGCCCCTGAGCCACACCAGCTGCTGCACAAGTCACAGAGGTCACGAAAGTCACGGAATCTGTGACTTCCAATGACAGACACGCAGCCTTACTTATAGGCCCTGTGTTGGACTTCAGTGGAGTGGGAGGGCCTGGACTCCACTGCCAACTCTCCACCTCATTAAGAAAGGCACAAAACCCCTCACCTTTTAGACTCACCCCTGGGGTACAAAAAGAAGGACAGGATTAATACCTTTTGCAAACCCTGGCTGGGATTTGACACTTGTGAGGTGGGCGGTGTCAACAGCCACACCCCATATCTCCCTGGAAACCCTGTCAGACTGGAGGGAGAGAGGACTGAGTTGTAACCTGACTGGAGGGTTGAGTCAACCCACAATAAAAGATAGATTAACACCAGATGTGAGGGTGGTCTAGGGGAAAGAGTAGAGCCTAACTCCCTAACCACTGTGCAATGGCACCTGCAAACACCATCCCCCACTCATCATGTTCTCTATAACTATGGTGGTTGCAAAAGTGTCCACTATCAAATTACAGCAACCTCTTAATCACAAAATATATCAACATTCTTGAATGGGCATAAACCTCTAATACTAAATCATGATGCACATCCAATACTTTATCTGTTGAGAGTATCTCTCCATCTTGGATAGTTCTAACCTATTTATCCCCACAGCATGAGTCCTGTGCAGTTTATTAGAAAGCACTAACAATGTCCAAGGTTATTACCCCCCTTCCCTGGTGGATATTTTAGTTTGGTTGCATTTTACTGATTCTTTTAATCTCATGCACTGTAAACTCTTTTCAGTAGTAGCCGAGTTAGTCTGGATCAGCACAGGGACTCCTCGTTTTTTTTGTAAACTCTTTGAAACTACTCCAGACAAATCACACACTTCTGAATAATGCAACTGATTAGATTATAATAGTGAAGAATTTCTGTAGTAGGGTCACTTACTATACATTGCCTTCTCTAGCAACTACATAGCAACACGTATATTAAAGCAACAAAAATAAAACAAAATGTGACTCCCAAAGAACAACTCATCCCTGCACCCCCCCCAAACCCTACAGCCAAAACAGACAATGCTCCCCTGACAATATCCTCTATGCAGGATGCCTTCTTAGCTGATATAAAGCTAGTGTAAGGGCTCTACATCAGCCCCCTGATTTACGGGTGGATCATGGGTGTGTTGAAGATGTGGCTGGAGTACACTGCAGGATAGCTATTCTTTGTTTGATAGCCACTGATGGTCATGGGAAGCACAGCATCATTTATAGAACTCCTGAGGCTGCTCTACATTAGGGGCCAGGCAGTTTCTTGCACAGCCCTAGAATGCAGGGAGCACAGAGGTGGCTTATAATGTATCTACTGAGAATCAGGTTCATTGATTTACTGGAGGAGAATAGAACTTGATTAGGTTCTGAAACATTAAAATTCTGAGGCTGTGTAAAAAAGAAAAGGAGGGGACTTTATCTCCTGTCTGAAAACTGCCTTCCAAGAACTCAGACACACCTGATAATTCTACTTCTATTGAGAGTACATATTTGCACCACTTTTAGAAAACTGTCATATACAGCCACAAGATATTTATTTTTCCTAGATCTTGGATCTAGCACTTTAGGCTCAAATATATGCTAGGAGTCCACTGAAGCATGACATTCTTTAAAAAAAAAAAATTAAAACTAACTTTCCAGAAGAACTCTTGGGGTTTTTCTTTGAAAAATGTTTTGTAACTTATGCGCCTTCTTTTTAATCAAATATTATCAATTGGTACAACTAATATTGTAAGACACCATTCTTCTTTTACATGTTTTTGGTTTTTTTTTAAGAATGAAAAATCACTTGGGACAGATTTAATCTACTAATCACAATATATAGTATAAATTGGAGGCAACAATTTTACATCCAGCCAAAATGTCAGATAAGTTTCATATACAACAAAAAATACCTATTTTGTAATCTTAAAGTCACATTGAGACTAATAGATTATATGAAGGCAGTACCTGGTGCTGATTTAGATATGGACAATCTTTTGCTTCTAACTCATTGGGTATTATTTATTCAGCTCATAAAATGAGAGGAAAGATAAGTTAAAGCTAAATGCACATATTTAAGGTAACTTTGATTTGTTTAGATAAGTCTTTTTTTTTCAAATTTGGATAACCCACAGCAGATATATCAGTCTTGAAACTTTTGTCTCTGTTGTCCAACAACACAACACAGCTTTCTCTATACACAGGTATTTGTGCTTCACTTTACCTGGATTAAGATAATCAGGATTCAAGAGAATTATAGGTAAGTTAATGCAAAGCACTGTGTGTCAAGGTTGCACTTAATTAAGCACTCAGTCAAGGCTGAATGTGTTCTGCCTTTATTCTGTCCCTTTGCATATATGTATGTAGTGCCATACAGTTTCTGGGCCTGTCCTTGCTACTCCCAAAATGGTCAGAGGGATTATTGCTGAGCAATTTAAATTCCTGTCCCCACAACCAGAGGCTGAGCATATTGCCTTTTCAATATTTTCAGCGCCTCCTGAAATAAGAGGGACATTTTTGAGGCTCTGACTATAATGATAGTGCATCTATCATACCTAACTCTCTTTGGAACATGGTGCTGTACTAAATTAGGCTCCTATTTCCTCTTAACAATCAGTTTGTATCTCATAATGATGTCTGCTCTTCTATTACATATATTATAACAAAAGTTCCACTATGCTGTTCCAGGTGCCTTGATGTACATACTACTATTAGGTGAACTGATCTATCACCATGGTGTTGAATTTAATTTATATACTGGGAACAAAATTACATTAAATTTGTCCCCATATTCTACTTGCTATCTCTGTTGTGAATGCCTAAATAGTGTCCAGGCATATTTAGATATTTCTTACAACTTAATGCAAGAAAACATGGGTTTGTGGGATATAAACACTAGCTAAAAATCACTCACCTCTTAATTCTGTCTTTTCTCTCCATCTCCTTTTATAATGCTTTTTTCCCCAGGATTTGCAATTTAGCAGTTCAGCTGGAGACTCGTCTAACATTTGAATGAAATGTTTGTTGTATGGAAATCTCCATTATATTGCCTTAGGAATATAGCCAGATTACATCTCCACCTCATTTCTGCTGATGCATAGGTCTTTATTCAAGACCTTTGTGTCATCTTGTTTAAACTATTGTTGTAGAGCCCTTTTAAGCTGTTTTGCCCTGCATGCCATTAATAGACTTCAGCTGGTACAAAATGCCACAGCTAGAATTCTGCTTGGCATCTAATAGTAAGAGCATAACTTCAGTTTTGATCAGTAGACACTACATAAGTGTCCTTATTTAAGGGCATAAGTGTATGGACCTAGACAATTTGCAGTATGTCAAGAGGCCATGCAATCTTATACTATGAAGATTTATTAGGAAGATTAAAAAAAGAAAGCAAATATATGAAACCACCAAAGGAAGCTTTATCGCCAATCTAGATCTAACCTCTGCCCCCAAACAGTGCTGAAAAATAAACAGTTTCCAAAGGAGGGGTGACTGACTCCAGGCAGACAACATGAAATGTAAAAGTATATGAAGATTTACTCTGAGACTTTAAATAGGCAAGTTATGGAAACAACAACAATTAGTCACAAAAATTAAAATGTTCTTTTTTTAATTGTAGCATTACTAAATCCCTTGAGTGAGTCTAAACTTTCCTTGGTATGTCGTCTCACATACTTATGACAAAATCAGATTTCATTGGTAAAGCCCCCCTTTCGTGCTGATTTCAGGCTCACAGGTGTAGAGCATGTAAATCCACGTATTTTCTTTTCACAACCTTGGTATAACAAGGCAAACTTTGGTCCCTTAATTCAGCGGGAATTTTGTGAGTGATTTCAGTGGGATAATGGGACCAGGGACTCTGGTATGTAAAACTGAGGTAGGATTATCTAGATTAACATGGCATGCCAATATCTTCTTCAGTTATAAATGAATCATTCAACTACCTTTTGGCTTTACATCGAGGGGGAATGGAGTAAAAGGTATTATACGTCCCCCTCCCTACTTCCTTGTATAATTTTAAACAACACTCAAAATTCAACAGGTCCTAAATAATCCTATTTGATTATGAATATTGCTGTTTAACTTTCTGCTTAGTTGCTTAAATCTTCGCTTAAGAACAGATGCAATGATTTTAAAATGCTCTGTTTATTATAATTTAATACATAATTATAGCAAATTTTAACTGATATTGTGCAGAGTATTTATTGCAATATGTTCTGATTTTTGAAAAGCAATGTGCCTGATAATAGTTTCAGAAAAAGTTATGCAACTATTGAATAAATAATCGGAGTCAATATTTCTAACAACGTCATTTCAAAACCTAGTGCTAGAAGGTAATGGCCTGGTAATGCTACATATAAGGAATCAAGACACTATACAACCTATTACTTCAAGCTTGAAGAGAAACAGGCCCCATGTGCAGTAGAGGCAATACTGTTTTAGCCAAAATCATATTTAAATATTGTTCTTCCAGTAAGAATGGTTTCAACACTGCCTGGCCAGTGTTGACCAAGGAGAACTGTTTTACAAACGGTGCTCTATATTAGGTCAGGTTTCTCTTCCAGGATAGACGCTGTCCTAAAGTCCAACAAAAATATTTGTAGTTTCATACCAGCACTTGTACTCTAGATTCTGCTCCGGGATACTTCCTTGTTTTCTTTGTGGTATACTCAAGTTTCTTCTGATTCCTTAATTTATCTTCTACCTGGAGTTTTCACCAGCTCCTCATCTTTGTAAGATAACCAGCAACATGCAAAGGAAAAGAACAAAATGATTAATGAAAATTAAAACCTTTGAAATATAAAATATTGAAAATAACCCTAATAAAAAGAAATGCCACATTTGCAGGAGGGGGAAAGAACAAGGATGAAAGATTTGAAACAGGAATGTACCAGAAGAACACACAAAATATATATAGCACACACAGCAAAAAAAATGTAAACTGAAAATATTTAATGGATGCACATGCTGCTTACTCATCACAATATAATTCTCTACAGTCTATTTGCTGCCATTTTTATTTGCATGAGCCTCAGTGCACGCACAACTGTGGTAGGAGGGAAAAGTTACTCCAGTCTAGCAGGAGCGAAAACACAATAGCAGCAGTGGGGTCATGTGACACCTCTGATTATTGGGCTAAACTGTTACCATCATTAATTCCAGCAGTTTGTTCTCTAACCTAAGGAGAGAGCCAATAGTTGAAGAAGACATCATACAAAAGAGGTGTGATCTTCTCTGAATTACAAAACCCTCCCATACCAGACACTCAGGAAACCGCTCCTGCTGATATGAAACTTGGTGATGCCTAAGAAATGTCTTCCATTTGGGTAGAAAAGCATAGGAAACTGTATTAAGGCCCAATTCCATATTTTAAAGAAATGTTTGGGTGAATACAGTAGGTCCCACTCACTCTAGCGAGCCTGAGTAATCCTGTTTGAGATATTTAAAAAAAATGTTTCTAAAATATTTAATCTGAAGCATCTTGGATATGCTTCTATTATCCCACTCTCCCACAAGTGCCTTCTCACCCCTCATGCATGAGCACCTTCCACAAACTAATCCATAACTCCACTGCTGCGTCCTCCTCAAGTTCCATAGGCATCTGTTGTGATGGCTATGGAACACAGATGTCTGATAATGGTTAGGAAGGTGGGGAGCTGGGACAACTTTTAAAAACAACCTCCACAGCACCTTTGTACCTACAAATTACACACCCAGCTAGTCTATGAAAGACATGGTGGTATTACTGTTGCCTCTCCTAATCCTGGTTTGTCTATCACACTCATTTGTTTAGACTGAAAAAAGTATTTGGGATAGGGACTGCCTTTTCCTATATATTTGTAAAACACCAACCTCCGGTTGGAGTCTCAAGACACTACTGTAATATAAATAATAATTACAAGCAAAAAAAGTTAAAAGAATTCAATCCTCTTTGTGTGTATGCACGATACAGCCTTTAATGACATCACCATATAATATTTTTCCAACACCTATCCATTCAGTTAATGGGTGGTTATTCAATATTTTTTTAGTCTCCCCATTCAGTGTGCGGCCTCAGGCCTTATTTACAGCACATAGCTCCCTCCTGCACTAAATACTAATATTCAACTTTCTCCTCGCCATTTCTATGTTGCTGATTGCTATAACATCTGAGGACTTCACAAACATCAATAAATTTATCTTCAGAACATGCTGTGATACTATTAGGTGATACTATTATCCCCATTTTGCAGATGTGGGAACTGAGGCACGGACAGATTAAATTCAAAATTGTCAACAGGGTCCTCCAATTTTGGGTACCTACTTGAAATACCCAGGGTCCAATTTTTTAGGGTACTTGACACACTATAGCTCTCTTTATGTTCGAAGTACAGCTCCATTTGGCTTCAGTGGCAGCTGAGAGTGCTTATCACTTCTACAAACCTGGCTATAAGTGTCTCATGTTGGGCACCCACGAAACAGGAATATAGAGTTAGTGGCCAACTCAACATTTTGAGTAACATGACTTGCCCACCATCCCTTAGTACTTCTTTGGCAGAGGCAGGAACAGGCTCCGGGAGGGTGGGGCCGGGGATGAGAGGTTTGGGGTGCAGGAGGGGGCTCCGTGCTGGGGCCAAGGGGTTCAGAGTGCAGGAGAACTCAGGGCTGGGACAAGGGGTTAGGGTGCAGGAGGGGGTGTGGGCTCTGGGGTGGGGCCATGGATGAGGGGTTTGGGGTGCAGGATGGGGCTCCAAGCTGGAGCAGGAGGTTGGGGTGCAGGAAGGAGTGGAGCAGGGGGTTGAGGTGCGGGAGAGGACTCAGGGCTGGGGTGCGAGAGTTCAGGACACAGTTGCCAACTTTCATGTGGTAAATAAGAACCCCAACTTTAACAATAAGCCAAAAATCAAGCTAATCCCATTTCAAAACAAGGCCCAAACAAGCCAATCCCTAAGAACCCCAATGCTCTATGTGACTAGATCCCCCCCAGCGTGCAGTCTGGGACTGTGGTGGGTCTGCTGTGCACCCCTGACTCTCTCCCCCCCCTTGCCCCTTGTCCCCCCTTGCCCCTGCTTGCTGGGAGCCAATCAAAAAAAAGAAGCAACAAGCTACAACCAGCCAAAAACTAGCCAACAAACAACTCACAAGCCAATTAAGCCAAAACCAAGTGCAATTTCTGCATTTTTTTCCCACGGGTTTGGCATGTCTGGTTTGGGGTGCAGGCTCCAGCCAGGCAGCGCTTACCTCGGGCGGCTCCTGGAAGCGGCCAGTCTGGCTCCTAGGCTCAGGAGCAGCCAGGTGGCTCTGCGCGCTGCAGCTGCCTGCAGGCACCGTCCCCGAGCTCCCATTCGCCATAGTTCCCGGCCAATGGGAGCTGCAGAGATGGCAGTCGGGGCAGGGGCAGCACGCAGAGACCGCCCTTGGAGACCTAGGAGCCAGACTGGCCACTTCCAGGAGCCTTGCGGAGCCAAAGCAAGTAGGGACCGGACTTTTAGTGGCCTATTAAAATCTCCCAGATTGCTTTCAATAGTCACCGGGAGACTGATGCCAATTCCGGTAGACTCCTGGCCAGTCCAGGAGTGTTGGCAACCCTATCTTTGGGAGATAGAAAGGACTGATTCTTCAGATTACCTCATCTTTGAGGGAACATTAAGAATTGAGGATCTGTACAAGTAAGAGTTTGATTCCCCTTACGGAGCTATATTAGAGGCTCAAAAAGACTTTGGCAAACACTTAAAATACGATAGAAAACCCCCACTAATTTACTATTGAGTCTTCATGCAAAGAATAGTAAATCAGTATGACTGCAGAGGTTTCAAAGCTAATAGGCTCTCATGACTCTGACCTATAAACAGACATTTGTTAAATACCAGAAGATTATTCTGATAGTGGAACTGTAATACTTTTGTTCAATTAAAAGAAATGTATGTTTACAAAAAAGTGTCTAATGTAACTGAACATTCAGATCAGAATTCAAGTCATATTGTTCACTGGAGATACAGATAGGTCTAATGTTGCAGACAAACAATGGCTAAATGATAATCTATTTGATAGGGATGAGGATTCTCATTAATAATATCATAATGGGTCTAACATAGTGTTCTGATTTCCTTAGAATATGGATCACTTTGAGTACACAGTTCTCCTTTTCCTGTTGTCCAGGACCGGGTATAGAAACACTAGTTAACAGGGTGGTGGTTCATCTATACAAACATATACATTTTTCTTTTTAATTTATCCTCCCACCACTTCAGGTGTGGAAGGTGTCCACCAATTTCTGCCACTTATTTAGCTTTTGCCCTGGTCTCTTCAGGCTCCTGAGTGTCATGTTGATGGATTTGACTTCTTTCACTATTGTTCTGTGTAATGTTTCTCTAGGTCACCCTCTTTTACTCTTCTGTAATATTTGTGATTAGAATGGCCACAAAGGAAATCTCGCCAATGAAGAACATCAAGTTATTGGGGAACACTGCAGCTAATGAAAGACATGATCCCATATGCCTCATACACAACTACAGGAAAATGTGCTTGTCACACCAGAACTCAAGAAAAATTAGACTCACCTAAGCAGAACACCACCAAAAATGAATCACTATGTATCATCAGTGAAATAATCACACCTCAGAGAGGGGCGGTATCAAATATGTGAGTTTAGGGAATCTGTCTGTGTAAAACATATATTCTAGTTGATTTTATTAACACTATGTATATAAAGTGACCCTCACTGTATACTGAATCAGCCATTTGCTAGCAAAGACTGGTCATGAATCTCACAAACCCTATCAGGAAGCTGCTTCAGGACAATCAAGAAGTCATTAACACTGAATGCCTCTACCTTGATGGAACAATTGTTACTCTAAAGCAGGGGTAGTCAATTATTATTTGTCAAGGTCCAAATTTCTTGGGCAAGGTCTAGTCAAGGTCCAGACTCCAGAGAAAATAATAATAATAAAAAAATAACAATAATGATATAATAACTAAATAAAAAGATTTTGAGGTCAGTTCAAAAGCATCTGGTGGTCTGGATTTGGCCCCTGGTTCGCCTAGACTACCCCTGCTCTAAAGAGTGTGTGACCAGGCTAAAGGAAGCTGGTTCTCCCAGGTTGCCTGAGGGGGAGAGGTTGGAGCAATAAACAATCCCGAGTAAAAAAGAAACTGTCACAGTTTGAATGAACAGCACCAATTCAGATTTTCTTTCTTTTTTTTAAACCAGAACAGATTCAATAGGAAGGCACCATCAGTTTGAAAGGAAACTTACTCTTGAAATTTTGAGCAAAGCCGGATGTTATAGAAAAGCCCCATTGAAACCAATAAAGAATTGCTAAAATCCAGCCTCTCTCTGAATTCAATGGAAAATCTCTTGTGAAACCAATGGAAAATTTTGGATCATATTCAGTGTTGTAACAAATACAAATTATGATCCAAATTTTCAAAAGATCATACAAAGAAAAGTGCACACATCAGTAGGGGATTTCAAATGCACACACACATAGAACATCAGGCATTGCACTTGTGTACGTGCATGTTATTTCAAATGCATGTGCATGCATCCACTAGTCACTGGTGGATACCCAAGAGTTGATCCTTAGCTGTGAAGAATAGCTTTGGTTTTCTGGACCAAACTAGAGCCTGGATGGTATTCTGATGCTGTTTTCCCTCTTTGGTGAAGAATGCTATTACACTTGCATTAACTAGTAGTGATGTTTCTGTAAGGGACTCCTGGGACTCTTAATCTCATCTCATTTCCAGTAA